TATATTGCTCTAGGATTTACATTTCATTTTTTCCCGTTCTAGTACACAGAAACTGCCGTCATCAATTATCATGACAGAACAATTTTGAATGTATATTTATAAAGATTTCATTTCGTTCCACAAAATATAAGTCAACGTGGCGGGACGATTGACGAGGTAGGGTGTTGGGATCAGAAAAAAACCCAACATAATACACGTTATTTTGTAGAACACAAATAAGACAACAAAGATCACCGAAGTCGAGGGGAGAACGATTCAGAATAACACCAAGCGCCTTTCTCGTAAGCCCGATAGGTGCCGAGATGTGGGAAGTTAAACCCCATTTCATTCATAATAGTAAACACAAAAACTTAATGTTCTTTATCTAAAATGACAAGGATTTACTGCAAACTCAGTTCTGACTTGATCTCGAGAGATGGGCGAGTCGTAGTAGAAACAGTGCCCCCACCCCTCTCTCTCTCTCTCTCTCTCTCTCTCTCTCTCTTGATCTAGAATAACCAGACTCTGGGAATCTGAGAGAGGGAGAGAAATGGAGTTTAACGTCAACTCGACACAAACTAGGTCATTTCGGGACTAACATATGGTTTAATTTTATTTCATTAATTCGCTTGCGCGTAGGGGTCTTTAGCAGTGGGAGGAAACCGGAGGACCAGGAGAAAATCCACGAGGTTGGACAGGCGACCCTACTCCTTGTCACGTACAACCGGGGATTCGAAACAACACCAGTTGACTCAATGATAGGCCGTATGATACAGCACGCACGTGCTAACCATTCGGCCATCCAACCCCCCTCTCTGGGAATCTACACTGTACTTATCTTTTCTGATTTTCCGACGTGGTCTCTACTTGTCAGTGGTGTAGGACGAAGGGCCTGACAAGGACAGCTGTTTAGTCATTCGGATGAGACGAAAAACCGAGGTCCCGTGTACACATTGGCGTGCACGTAAGATATCCCTTGGCAGTTGGAATTCGATATAAGAGTAGGTCGTAGTGCTGCTGTCCGGCCAAAATTCCCCCTCATAGCACACTGTATGGCGTATGCCCGTCTTCATTAGCCCAGTCGGAGCAGAACAGTAGGACGTTAAACCCCATTTCATTTCATTTCTTTTACTTATCTTTCAGATGACAATAACACCGACACCATCGTTGACTTATTTCAAATCAACTCTACCACTGGATGGTTAGAACTAAAGACTAGAATAACGAGTAACACATCTTTCTATGAAGTAATAATAACGGTGAAAGATGGTGGCTCACCAAGACTTTCTACACAAGTTTTGATACGAGTTATCGTTACTGATGTAGACTTAGCACCAGGTGGTAATCTCATACCAAGTAGATTCCCAAAATGTAAGTTGAAGTTAACATTAAACATACATTATGGGAGATTAGATAAAGAGCTGGCAGTTCGCACCATAATAGTTAAAAACTAGATAATGTAAAGGGAATTTGCTGAAAATTTCAGTCAAATTGATTCAATCTGGAACGAGAATTTAGCGATTAAGTCGGTACATAAAAAAAAGCCTCGATTATCCATTCTTTGATTTAATCAGCAGCAGCAGATCGGGATCTAATCCAGTAAATGTTGCAGGCTAGCGATGACATCGAGAGTTGATTATGGCCTGGATAAATTGATTAATGTCTAATTAATAATTTAGATACCATTTCAGGCCTAAAAGAAAAGATCGGCAATTGGCAGATTTAGCTCTTGCATATTGAATGTTAAATTCTTTATTGTAACACAACTAGTGTCACCATATCAAATATTTTTAACTACTTTCAGTTTTTCCAGACAGCATTACTCCCCGATTATTTGCTTTAAGCTCAGCATTTAGGAATAGTTCAAATATGGGCGAAGGTAATGACATATTTCTCTCTCAGTATATCGACGGATATGGATATGAGATAGAGAGAGAGAGAGAGAGAGAGAGAGAGAGAGAGGAGGGGGTAACGTCCACTCGACGCTTGCGCGTAGAGGTCTTTAGCAGTGGGAGGAAACAGGAGGACCCGGAGAAAACGCACGAGGTTGGGCAGACGACCCAACTTGTTGTCACATACAACCGGGGAATCGAAACCACGCTGGTTGACTCAACGACAGCACTTATGATATAACGAGCGCGTGTTAACCATTCGGCTCCCCCCATCATCCTAGGCGAAAGCGAGCGGACGTTAAACCCTACTGACCGACTGTATGAAACAGATTGATCAACACCCTGCTCTTACACGCATGTTTTAGGGAGATACAGCAACAATCGGATTAAATGCATAGAGGATATTTGTCGTTTTAGAGTGAATAACATATTTTATTTCACCGAGAAGCAAGAAAACTTATATTTTCTCGAATGCGTAGCATGAGTGAAAATATAAACGTTTTCTTGCTTAGAGATGAAATAAAATATGTTATTCACGACAAAACGACAAATGTTCTATTTATTTTATGATTTTTCAATCATTTTAGGTAAAAACAACATGGACTAATTTGTCCGCTTCTAGCCAGTGGAATAACACTTTTATTTCACTGATAAAACGCGGTATTCCACTACTGATCATAAAATAAAAATCTATATTTCGTTTCGGTTATTTATACTTACGGTACGGTGGCCTCTACTACAGAAAGATCTGATTCATTCATTCATTCGTTTATTCATTTCAGTACCTAGCATTCCACGTTGTCAATTATATGGAATAAACCTGTTTATATCTGAAGATGAAGAAATCAACAACTCTATTTACAATTTGATCTGTTCCGATCCCGATGGTGACCATCTCTATTACTACCTTAATACAACCCAAAAAGATAAGTTGAGCAAGAAGAAATTCAAGATAGACAACGGAACACTTGTAGTTAAAAATAAATTAAATGCTGATTATGCACATAAATTTCAGGTATGTTAAATATTAACATATCACAATTTTTATGGGAAATAATAACTGGTTTTTATTCTAAATTATAACGATAAGAGGATATTTATCGAAACGTTGTATTTTTAGAATAAAACCAGTGATTGTTTCCCATAAAAATTGTGTTCTGATAATATGCTTCTCAGTCGCTAATGCCACTCAAGAGTAGCAATATTGTGTAATTACAGAGTTTATGAAATGAATCACAACGAGCTTCTTATTACTGTAATCAGTATTAACGACGATAAATAGAGAATCTCCTACCAGTCTTTTTTGATATCAAAAAATATCAACACAAGTTGATAAAGTAACAAAAACGAGGCTCTGCCGAGTTTTTTTTTACTTTATCAACGAGTGTTGATATTTTTTGATATCAAAAAAGACGAATAGGAGATTTTATTTATCACCCAATCCCTTCTTACATGCAAAAATAGATAAATATAATTCTTTGCTGTAGATTTCACTTTTACTGAACATTACGGCGTAGTGATACATCATTTTTTGACAGCAATTCAACCATTGCAAAGTCTTTTATATTAACACAGTGTTTCCATCAAGGTCAATTGAATAACAATAGTTCATTTTTAATTAAAAAAAAGTTACTTTTGATAAGAAATGAACTGTTCTTTGAAAATAAAAAAAGTAGTTCCTTTTCAACTGACCAATCAAATTCATGTAAAGCGATATCTCCTAAGGAGATATCGCAGTAGATTATGAAATATATCACACAAGCGATATCTACTGTAGAATGTATTATTGGGTGATAATATTATATATACACAACTTGTTGACGGCACACACAGCAACATACGCTACGGACAACAGAAAACAAAATTATTACAGGCTAACAGGATTCGCAATATTCTTTGATGTTTGTTTATGTTACTAAACCTCCAGTAGCCTGGGGGGAGGGCGGTGGATGGCCGAATGGTTAGCATGTGCGCGCTGTATCATAAGGCCTGTCATTGAGTCAACTGGCGGGGTTTCGATTCTCCGGTTGTACGTGACAAGGAGTAGGGTCGTCTGTTCAACCTCGTGGGTTTTCTCCGGGTCCTCCTGTTTCCTCCCACTGCTAAAGACCCCTACGCGCAAACGAATTATTGAAATAAAATTAAACCATATGTTAGTCCCGAAATGACCTAGTTTGTGTCAAGTGGACGTTAACTCCCCTCTCTCTCTTTCTCTCTCTCTCTGGGCAAAATGAATTGTTTAAAGTAGCTAAGTCTCTAACTCGGTATCATCCAAAACCTTCGACATTGAAAACACGAATTAGTTGTCAATTTTAATCAACATTGGTGTTGTGATCTTACCGGGAAAAGATGGGCTTCTGATATCCAATATTTAAGACAAAATAAACATTTTACGATTGGTACACGAATCGTGTACCATGATGCGTTTCAGCACAATTTGTAACAAACGACTCGAAGATAAAGGTTAGACATATTCCACAAGTCATGTCAAACGGTGGCCCCATATTCTTATCTGGAGAGCATGCGCAATAAATACTATCGATGTAGACTGGAATAACCAGACGTTATAGTTTGCCATTCGATTGAGACTTCTGGCGTATTTCGTCGAACATAACTCCTTTGAAATTAGAGTAAAAACGGAAACGATTGAATGTAAATCAGTTTACTTACATTCATATTGCATTATTATATACGTTGCGACCCATTTGTGTCAATTTGCAGATCCCAAATATTAGAGATTTAGCTCCTTTAATACTAGTCGTATTTCTTATTTTTCACGACATTATTTGGCTCCGTTTATGGAGGTTCCCTTTTTTTGAGGGTGAAGGTTTTAAACAACAATTTAATTTTTAATGGAAGTAATCAGACTAGCTTAAAGATAGCAAGCCAAATTGTTTTTAAATGTGTTGAAAAGGAATCACACTTTGAAGGCGGGTCATTTATAATTTTGCCCAGACTAGCTTGCAAGCAAAAGTGTTTTTAAATGTGTTGGAAAGGATTAACCCTTTGAAGGTGGGTCATTTATAATTTTTGTATTATTTAAATGTGTTGGAAGGAATTAACCCTTTGAAGGTGAGTTATTTATAATTTTTTTATATTATTTAATAGTTTTTTATAATAGTGACGGATTCCAGTCTTCATCAGTTCAGTGTAACTGTTGTAATAGCTGTTCACGTGACAGATAAAAACGAAAGACCACCAAATTTTAAAAAACTCCCAACCCACGTTAACGTCAGTGAAAATACGCCGATTGGAGAACTGGTTTTTACCTGCACATCAAAAGATCTCGATCTGACTACGACTAAAGTTCACTGGACGAACCCAGGTAAGTTGCTGTATTTGATTCTTATCCTCTCTTGTTTATCGATATGATTAAAACACGGATCCTATTTCGTTTCATTTTTTATAGTTCAAAATTTCGTTTTACTTGTCTTTACTACTCTAGGATCTGGAAGAGTTGTTATATAACCAGTCAGTGGGGTTTAACGTCCGCTCGCTTTCACCTAGGATGATATCGCAGACAAGATCGCAATCTGTTTCATAGAAGTAATACTAGCGCCCTCTTTTAACTCTGTCTAAGAAGACTGGCATTTAAGTTCACGTACAGTATAGGTCTACGTGAGACATCCCACGGCGTCGATAGCTCGTGCATTATTGAGTCAACTGGCGTGGTTTCGATTCCCCGGTTGTACGTGACAAGTAGTAGGGTCGCCTGTCCAACCTCGTGGGTTTTCTCTGGGTCATCCGGTTTCACCCACTGCTAAAGACCCCTACGCGCAAGCGAATTATTGAAATAAAATTGAACCATACTTTAGTTCCGAAATGACCTAGTCGAGTGGACATTACACCCTATTTCTCTCTCTCTATCTATATATATTACAGGTGATGTCAACCCGTTACCATGGTATTTTATGGTGTATCTAATGAATATGTTACCATGGTAACTGGAAGTTGATATATCGTATGTTGTATATTACAGGTGACGTGAACACATTACCATGGTATTTAGATAATGTATCTGGTGCTGTGTATTTAGTTTATCCAGTAGATTATGAATTACAGAAAAACTACACATTAAATATAACAGCCTGGGATCTGGATCCACGAGAACCTAAAAATACAACCAGTTATCTAATTATTGATGTAACAGATGTTAACGACAATCCACCGGTATGTCATTCCGCACACGGAGAACTATCTACTTAAAAAATAGATCTCTGTTCTAAATGGCCACCATATGCAAAATTAGTATACTGTTTTTATAAATTGACTCTACTTTCGTTTCACATCTGTCGCACACACACAAAGATTAAATAAACCCTTAACGGAATTCGTAAAATTCTCTAATATGTGGTCGATTTAGGAATTAAAATGTCGGTCAACTAGCTTAGTGTTTGTTCTCCAGTTCTCCAGCGGAGCTAATTGTAGACAAACAGCCTAAGTTTAGTATGCCGGTGTGTTACTATTTATAGTCTGAGTGTTAACCTCGTCCCATTTCTACAAAACAAAAAACACCTGACACTGCTGAACGTAATAATTTGACATTTTATCGCACTATGTGTTAATGCCATCTGTATTAGTGTGCTGTGGGTATTGTTTTAGTAGTTGGGGCCGCGTTTGTTTTGTCAAGCATAATGATTTTGACTCAATTTGATATTATTAGTGATTTGCAGTTTTACACAATCTGGTTAAATCACAGATCCTATTTCGTTTCGTTTTTATAGTTCAAAATTTCGTTTTACTTGTCTTCACAACACTAGGATCTGGAAGAGTTGTTATATAACAGGCGTTCTGGATGATGTGAAGAATTAGCCAATGAAACGGTTCGTTACGACGAGTTCTTTGCGCGCTGTGTACGGAACTGTGGATAAACCACTAGAAACGTCAACGCTGATTGATTAATCAATGCCTGACGTCATAGGATCAAAAGCCGCTCGTATGACACCTGTCGCGATCCCTCACTGGTCAGATCTTCATCTAGTAGAGGCCATCGAAAGTATAAAAAAAAAACGAGAGAGAGAGAGAGAGAGAGAGAAATGGGGTTTAACGTCCACTCGACAGAAACTAGGTCATTTCGGGACTAACATATGGTTTAATTTTATTTACATAATTCGCTTGCGCGTAGGGGTTTTTAGCAGTGAGAGGAAACCGGAGGACCCGGAGAAAACCCGCGAGGTTGGACAGGCGACCCTACTCCTTGCCACGTACAAAAAACCCCCAAAAAAACCAAACGAAATATAGATCTGTATGTTAACCAGATTGTAGTTTTACACCGACTGTAAGAGTATTACAAGATTTTTGAAACAATTACGCCGTGAATCTTTTCACCGAGGTTACCGTCTAGTTTGATCTGACACTGATGGTTTTGTTCTTATATTCCACAGCTGTGTACACCATATTATAACACGAGTATATCAGAAGATGCGATTAATGGAAGTGATGTGGTCACCATTCAATGTAACGATTCAGACTCGGGTGAAAATGGAGAAATTTATTTTAAAATGGATGGTAGGTATATTTCTCTTTTACAAGAATCTGCAATTGTATAACACTAAGATCAGACCAAATATCTATTTTGTTACCAAATCAGACTCTCGTCATATATGGTCCTGAGATCAACGATTTTCTATATATATTCTAAAAGTAGAATGATAACAATAATCAGTAGTAGATAGATAATGGTAATGATTACAGTAGACAATGATTATAACGGTGGCAGTAGATAATGAGATTCCCATTAGACACACATCAAGTACTGGTAGAGTGATTTTCCTTATTACGAAACATCAGCTGGAACTGTTTAACTTGTTTTAAAATCGGCTGGGAGTGTTTAACGTATTATAAATTAAATGGGGTTTAAAATCCTACTGTTTGCCCTGACTGGGCTATTGAAGACGGGAACTTGCTATAAGAATGAGCCCCGTCATAAGTCATACAGAGTTATAACCCTTTGCTTAACAACCTTGTTCTTGACTTTATCTCCAATCGTAGACTATGGTGAACTATACCTATTAAAGTAGTCGTGTATCATCAATTTTTCGCATATTTATCGCCCTTTTCCTCCAAACCTGCTTATCATATAAAGTAACAGAGGTTTGGACATTTGAGAAATTATGCTTGGAGTTTCTTTGAAATGGTTTCATATTTGCTGTGATGCCGAAGAAATTATATTTCAAAACACAGACGATTAAGCTTGTGGTAAGCGAATGTTTCGTTGTCTGGCAACCTATGTTTAACTCAAATATCTTTGAACTTTTAGTAAACAACACCGACCCAGTCTTAAGAACGTTTGAGATTGGAAACACAACTGGACAACTAAGTCTGAAGTCTGGATTAAATTATGATCAACACTCATCATATGACGTTAAAATCATAGCGTATGATGGCGGTAGTCCAAGTTTTAATTTTAGATCAACTATACAAGTTAATGTGACTGAGATAAATGAACCTCCGGTAACTATATTTAGACTTGCTAAATCTATTTGTTAAGGCCAGCTCAATTTTTGTCAAGGTCGTTGAGATGTAAATAAGGTTAGGGCACGTGCTTGTTGGCGAGATTGTAGGTTAGAGTTAGCATTGAGGCTAGGTCCAGGGTTAGGGTTGGGGTTGGGATTAGTGCTAGCCCTGCTTACATCACGTGACCTACGTCGACAAATTGAGCTGGCCTTATCATTTAGCATTAACCATTTAAACTTTCAAACATATTACTAACATTCAATGTTTTATGTATAGGGTGGTTGGTCGACAATGAGTCAAGTGATTTAGATTCGACGTGAAAAGTAGTAGTGTCGCTTGTCCAACCTCGTGGGTTTTCTCCGGATCCCCCGGTTTCCTCCCACTGCTAAATACAATTGAAGCATGTTAGTTAGTCCGGGAATGACCTAGTTAGTGTCGAGTGGACGTTAAACCCCATTTATCACTCTCTCTGTTTTATGTAGATCGTCGAATATGGCGCTGTAATACTATGTGGGCGATCAAGGGTTCAGTCAGGGTGCTCTGCACCGACAAGGTTCCTCCAGATCTTCCAGGCTAATATTACTTTGTATAGGGTGTCACTGACAAGATGGAACCACGCCGGAAAAATCCCCGATGAACTTTGTTGGCCAACGCAGCATGGAACATAGAACCCCCCGGTTAGCGAGCCTATGTCTTCCTCACTGAACCACCGTGGTGCCTGTTTGTGGTATAAGACGGCGGGCTTGGCAATGAAAGGTCTCTAGTCGTTCGTCTGGAGCCGAGATCTCGTGTATACAGGACTTTAAGAATTTCCTTAAAGCCCGAACTGAGACGAGTCATAGTCGCTTTCATCGTGCACCAGCGAGAAGGGGAAAACACGCTGAAATATCCCACGGAACTTTCTCTGCCGTCAACACCGAGATCTCTGAATTAGTGAGTGAACGCTTTGCTCACTGAGTCACCGTGAACCTGACAAATATACGGTCGTGTATCTAATTGTTTTGTATTTATTACAGGTATGCATACCCAATTATAATACCTGTATCAGGTATAATCCTTGTATAATAGAAGACATCTCACGACTTGGACTAGATGTGAAGATTCGTTGTATTGATTCCGATTCAGGGGAGAACAAGATATTTTATAAGATGGACGGTGGGTATATTAATTATAAACAGACCCGACCAAAAGTTTAACAGATCATTCAGTACACCTATAGAACTCATTCTAGGGACAGGAATGGAATGAAAAGAAATGGGGTTTAACGTCCTACAATTCTGTTCCGACTGCGATAATAAAGATGGTCTACAGTGTTTAATTTGTTTTGATTTTTCTAGATACCATCTCTCAAAATCTATCTATCAGCGTTTTCATCAAGAAACTTAAGATTAAGTTTTTAAAAAAAACAAACAATCTTCTTGTTCCAAGATACAATCTGGTTTACGAGATACCGATTATGGCTAATCGATTTTCAAATCACATTTACCGCACTAATTAGCTCAATCTGTTTCTCCTAGATGACGATTTACCAAATCTATAATGCAAATCTTAAAACTTGCTCGCGATATGCGATTGGATTTTTAAAATGGTGTCCTCGCATGAATGAACTGATATGCATGACATTAATAAATATTGTTTTGAATAACACGTTAATATAAACATTATGTGGACATTTTTAATAGGGACGCACAGTCTATGTGATATGTAGGAACTGTCAACGGCATTCTAAAACGAGTCCGAAGTCTGGGCACTTTGTTTCGTGTACTTGTCGTTTTCATACTCTTTAAAGACTGCCATGCCGCTTAAAATCTCAATATTAAGTTGTTACTGACAACATATGTTGGGGATGAGACATCACAATGAAGAAAAATTATTTTTGTTTTTTCATTCCTCGGCTCTTCGGCAATCTTGGGAGGCCAATCGTCACGTTTATCGAGAACCGATTTAAATACTATAAGTCGAGACCTACACGTCACATACCAATTAAAATAAGTTATCGGAAATCAAAACCGATTTGTTTGTTTTCGTAAAAACATTCTAGGATCTCGTTCAACTTACTCGCAGCTAGGAGCAACAAAATGGAATAATCTACCCGAAAACCTCAAATCATGCTTGTTACTGCCCTGTTTCAAGACACGACTAAACAATGTTTGGAGAGTCCAATAAAACATAACTTTGTTTGTGTAAGCGACAGAGTGTGGAATGTAGCACTATATGGCTAAATCTTTGTCAGGGTCGCTGAGATGTAAACAAGGATAGGGCACATAATTGTTGGCAAGATTGTAGGTTAGGGTTAGCGTAAGCATTGAGGCTAGGTCCACGGTTAGGGTTTGGATTGGAATTAGCGCTAGCCCTGTTTACATCTCTTGACATATGAGCTGGCCTTATCATTTAGCACTAACCAGCGCTATATAAATGGACATATTATTATTATCACTGTTTGGAGTCTATTACGAATGACTTCCGGTAAACAACTTCCGCCTATTTATTGATATGGAAATTTAACCACGAGACTCCATTGCACGGCTATGTTGATTATGAATTTGAATCCCCGTCTGTGTCATTTCAGATTTAAACGGGGTCGCGGAGAAAGAGGTGTTTACAGTAAATATGACCACTGGACAAGTGGGACTAAACTCTAAACTGAGATATCACCAACAAAGAACATACCAAATTAGAATCATAGTTTATGATGGTGGTATTCCAAGTCTGAGTGTTACAGTAACTATTCTGGTTGATGGTAGGTGTCCATTAAATCTGTGTAATAACCTTTAACAAATACAAGTTTCTATTTATACCCCTTTTTCACAATTCAACTAAAGACGCTATTGATAAATAATATCCGCGTAATCACGTGTTAGTAATTCTTCTAGCTAGGGTTAGGGTTAGGGTTAGCCTAAAAATCACTGAAGAAATATGATATACTTGATTTTGACGGAAATTATATAAGACTTTAGAAATTTGATAATGGAAATTCTACACTTACATACGTATTAGTTATTGTTTTAGCCTATGGCTTGGTTTAATATTCCCTGGAGAATATGTGATATAATAATATCTGATTTTGACTGGGATTATATGAAATTTGGGGATTCAAAATGAAAATATTGTCATTAAGCAAAATGTGAACATGATACCAAAGACCTTGATTATCCATTCATCTTTCTAATATTTGGCTAGGTTGATTTTCTCAAATATTTTCATTTTAAATTATATGACAATTTATTTTTATTTTATGCTTGTAATACGGGACAGTTAAGTTTCATAGCTGATAATTTTTACAATAAAATTATTCAAAGTATTCAATCTGTTTTACCTCAAATGATGACTTAGAAAAGATACATCTAAAATATTTTTTTTCATTCTGTGTTGACGTGAGTCAATTTGATTAAAACACAGATCTATATTTCGTTTCGTTTTTTATATTTTTGATGGCACCCACTACATGATCGATTGTAATGAAAGGTCGTGTCAGGGGTCATACGAGGGGCTTTTGGCCCTATGACGTCAGATATCTGATTACCCACTCAGCGTTGATGTTTCTAGTGGGATACCTACAGTTCGGCGCCAAATACTCGCCGTAATAGACAGTTTCATTGCTAATCCCTCACATCAAACAGAACGCGGGTTATATAACAACTCTTCCAGGTCCTAGTGTAGTAACGACAAGTAAAACGAAATTTTGAACTATAAAAAATGAAACGAAATAGAATCTGTGTTTTAATCGAAAGGACGTTCAATTAATTATTTTATCTTGAGTATTAGCATCTATTGATTGAACTGTGAAATTACCCAGTCTTGGGGCCCAAGGTTTTAAAGGTATGTGTGTTAGAAATACCCTAGACCCAAGGTTTTAAAGGTAGGTATGTTTAAAATAACCCAGTCCTGGACCCAATGTTTTAACTATAAGTATATGTGAAATAACCCCAGTCCATATCCCTGTTTCTCGAAATTTTAACTAAAGATAAAATCCAATTTTAGTAGATACTTCAATTTGGATTGACTAAGCACTTAAATCAATATAATATTATTCAATCAAATTACTAAAATTTGGATTTTATCTTAGTTAAAATTTCGTTAAACAGGCCCCTGGACCCAAGGTTTGAAAGATAAGTATATGTGAATGCGAGTAATATGTGATGCTGTGTATAGAATTGGTAAGGTTTTATAAGTTAGTGTGTTGTGAATATACCAATGTAATGATGCTGCTTCTAATGATGGTTTTATAAGTTAGTGTGTTGTACGTGAATATAACAATGTAATGATAATACTTCTAATGATAGTGTATGAAATAGTGTGTTGTACGCGAATATAACAATGCAATGATAATGCTTCTGATGATGGTTTATTTATAAGTTAGTGTGTTGTACGTGAATATAACAATGTAATGATAATGCTACTAATAAGTTAGTGAGTTGTACGTGTATATACCAATGTAATGATAATGCTATTAATGATGGTGTGTGTTGCGTGTGGGTATGATACTGTAATGATAATGATAGTAATGTTTTTACAGGAGGTAGTAAAATGTACGTGAGTATAACAATGTAACGATAAAGATGATGTAATCGTTGTGTATAAGTATTTGTGAGTATAATACTGTTATGATAATGGAATCATAATGTGTGAGGAGTTGTGTTATAAGTTAGTATGCTGTTTGTGAGTATAATGCTGTAATGATAATGTAATGATAACGTGTGGGGAGTTGTGTGATAAGTTAGTATGCTGTTTGTGAGTATAATGCTGTAATGATAATGTAATGATAACGTGTGGGGAGTTGTGTGATAAGTTAGTATGCTGTTTGTGAGTATAATGCTGTAATGATAATGTAATGATAACGTGTGGGGAGTTGTGTGATAAGTTAGAATGCTGGTTGTGAGTATAATACTGTAATGATAATGTGTGAAGAGGTGTGTTATATGTTAGAATGCTGTTTGTGATTAAATACTATAATGATAATGTAATGATAATGATGCTGCATAATGATGTTGTATAGGGCAGTGTGTTGTATGTGATGATGTATAATGTGCTATCGGCTATGGTATGATATAGTGTTGTTGTGTAGACCATCGTGGTGTTGCAATCTGGTATGTTGCCTAGTTGTCGCGTAATTGTGTGTTGATTGCTTGTTTGATTCATTGATTGATTAGGCTGGTCATTATTTGACGTAGAACAAATTGCAACAAAAGGTTTTTTGATTTCTATTGACTCATTATGATGTCCTAAGTAAGGAAAAGAAAGTTTACTAAAATCGGAGTCCAAATAAGGACGGGGGGGGGGGGGGAGGCGTGGCCAAATCCAAGATGGCGGCTGTCCATCAAAAATTGCAAATATCTCTAAAACTATTGGATTTAGACACGATAAATGTATTGCGGACAGATAGGAAGTCGGTATCAGCGAGTCCAAAAATTGCGACGTCACAACGGCATATCAGACGAATGCTGATGCAGAAAAGAGTGCATGCCCATTATGTTGGGTTGATAAAGAAGAACAATGTGTTACAATTACGGAGAGGGGGTGGGGACCTAAACGTATAATAACTAATGCTGCATTGCCGATAGGTGATACTATCAGTGTAGCTGCAGGAACACAGATTCATTTCAATGTTGAAGTAAATAAAATAAAACCAAGTACGAACAATCCAAACCATAAGACAGAATTCGTCGTCCGAATCATTCGGGCAGAAATTCGCCTAGTTTGTTTGCCGCTTTAAACAACTTCCAGATTGCTTAATCCCAGACTGTGTAAATATATGATATAAAAATAAAATAAAACCAAGTACGAACAATCCAAACCAGAAGACAGAATACGAAGTCCTAAAAAACGTTATAGGCAAAATAGTGTATTCAAGCAAAATAGTGTAATCAGCAAATGGAATGCTCCTCGTGTACAAAATACACGACAAACAGTGGTAACAGGTGTCCGGAAGAGTAAGCTTACCCTGCCTGGCGCCACACCCGCCATAGCTGCATCCAAACTATTAGGCGAAATGTCGGTAAAATAGCGTGATTGGCCAATGAACTATCGGTATGCAAAATGCACGCGATGAACTGTGTTAACGATGTAGTAGACATTATCAGGGAGATAGTAATAGTATACGTGTCAATTAAATATATCTAGAATAATAGCACAGAGAGACACGTTATATTTACCAATCAAATCAATATGACGGCCATAAAACTTTTTAAAGGTTTTAATAAGTTTAGTGCGCAAGTATCCTTGTAGTTGAAGTTTAGATGACAAATGCCTCGATCTACTTAAAAAATCAGAATAAAAGGAACAAGCTCTCGCGTAACGAATTAGCTAAGACACAAACACTTCATAAGCTGGTGATATTGGAATGTTACTACTAATAAATGGAAAGTTAACAATCGGAAAGTCAAAGTCATCACGTTTATCGTACAATTTAACACTCAGTTTATGGCAATTGTCAAAATCGAGACGCAGATCCAAGTAGGAAGCGTAATTGTCACTGTCAGTGGTGTTTTTAATTTCGAGCTCATCAGGATATATGAATTTTACATAATCACTAAATTTAGGATTATTTAGTGATAAAACGTCATCGATATATCGATAAGTGAAATTAAAAAGTCTGACTGATCGTTTATTAGTTTTTACGAGCGTCTGTATGTAATCGGTTTCGTACGAATAGTGAAACAGATCAGCAAGCAAAGGTGCACAGTTGGTGTCCATGGGGATGCCAACCACTTGCTGATATATTTCCCCTCCAAATTCAACAAAGATGTTATCAATTAAAAAATCCAACATATGAATTATCTTGATTGCCGTGAATTTGTTTTTGGAATCACTGTGATTCTTAACGAAATATGTGGAATTGTAATTTACAACTAAATATTGATATCTAGCAGTACCTGATTTAGACGAAAAGACACCGTGAATAATGTCTTTCAACCGGGCTTTTAATTTACTATGGGGAATTTTAGTGTACAAAGTAGAAAAGTCAAACGTTTGAATAGATGAGACTGAAGCAAGGGATCTAGATTGCAAACCATCAAGTAATTCTTTGGAATTTTTCAATATCCACATTTGATTTATACCACTACGAGATTATATTTTGTCACAGTATTTTTGAATACCCTCTTTAACAGCCCTTAGTATAGATGTCAATATAAAATGAGGTTATACATCCTATTGTTCTGCTCCGATTTGGCTCGCTTAGTGTGCTATGAGGGAAAATTTGCCCTGCATTGGCACAACAGCCTACTCATACATCGAATTTCATCCGCCAAGAGGTCTTTTACTGGAGAGGTAGTGCATCAAAAGGTGAATGGGTGGGGCTGATCAATTTTGACATTTGGCCCAAAAATCATCAGAAAGATGTACCCGACATGTGTTACAAAAGCAACTTTCGCGGTAATGTGAACAGCACCCCCTGGTGAATACCAGGGAGTCCAAAAAGGTGGAAATCGGTCGACCCCATCCATGCAACATTCAATGCACTTCCACAGTCCAAGCACAAAATGGGTGTCAAACATTAAGTCGCTGGGCTCCTTAATGGCGCTTTTTTTTTTATCTATTTGGCCACTACATCGTCGCTCTCATTCGGCTTCATCCTTAAAATTGATTATATCGTCTTTATACTAGTTATGTTAGGCCACATTTTGAAGAAATTCTAATATTTGTCCCCATACATTTTCTTGTTATTTATCTCAGACGTCGGTTTGAAGGTTGGGTTTTATAAGAATACGACTCGCTAAATCCAAAGAGCTTGGGCATCCCCCCTCCCCCAAAAGTGACGGCAAATTTGATTACCATATTGGTGTTTTGTTCAGTCATGGCACATTTTGCGTTTCAGATGTT